ACCAGTAGGTTTACGTTCTTGACTAATTTCAGCTTAATTGTCAAAACTCATCAGTGCCCCCAAAATGTATACTAGTGCAGCCAAAATTGTTTAGCTGTGCTGCCAAATTTAGTCAAACAAAAATTGCTTTCCCATACAGTGCGGATACAGGATTTTATTTGAGGGGGGCGATTGGGATATACTTGTCAAATAACGTTAAATTACAGGCATCCAACTTGATTCACGGGGGAGTTTGTAATAAGATCGTACGTGTAAGCAGGGCATTAGGAAGGAGCAATTAATATCAATGTGTAAACAGGGCATTATGCGACAAATGTCCTGTATCAATTAATTGGTAATTTTAGCACATCACACATCTCTAAAGAAAATACCAAGTCTTCCCTTTTCAATTGGAATCGCTGAATAAACTAAACGTACCGTATTGTAATAAATAAAATCTCAAGCCATCCACTATATATTGCGTTCCAATTATTTACTAACACGTCGAGCGTGTTACATGGTGTCGGAAGTGGCGAACAAAATATATATTTCGCTATTTTATCAAGAATTGCCGAAAAATTATGAGTGAGCGTACACCAGCGGAATTGGATTGCACAAATTTGGCGACGGAGTGGCCAAATTGGAAGCTCAACTTCATGGTATACCTAATCGCCAGCGGTAAGGCAAAAGAGCAGGATCCAACAAAAATTGCACGTTTTGTTTGGCTGCAAGGCACACAGGGTACAAATATACATATATAACACATTATACCCTAATGATGAAATCCAAGATTCACTGCTGGGCCAAGTCAAGTTTGAGCGCCAAATACCAGCCGTGATTGGGTAGGTTCAGAAGGCGCAGAAGTTGAGCGCAACCGTTGCTAAAAAAATCAGTGATCATAATGCGCCTTCTGAACGGATTGATACATTAGCTGTCAAATTCAAAACACACAACATGTTGTCTCAAATGATCATAAAAAAATTACGATCATCTAACACGCAACTGTTCAGTAGATCAGAAGTGCAAAACGACGCGTTCAGAAGGTGCAATCGCAACAGTTACTGAGCTGTTGCGCCTTCTGAACGTGCCCATTGTTGAAGGTGTGGAGCAAGAACCAGCGCGCGTTAAACAAGTTGTCCAACAGCGAACATTAGAGGAGGTTCTGCAAAAATTCGATGATCATTGCTTGCCTCAACGAAACGTGGCGATGGAGTAATACAAGTTCAACATGATTGTGCAAAGAGAACACCAATCATTCAATGAATTCGAAATTCGATTACGGCACTGTGAGTTCAAGTGTTTATGTGGTAGCTCCTACGAGGACCGAATGCTGCGTGATCGTATTGTTGTAGGTGTGTTTGACAAGAAATTACTGCTCAAACTCTTGGATGGTCGGGATGACGAACTAACGCGCATTATTGCTACTTGAAAAACTTACGAAACAGCCAACGCAAACAAGTGTGTCTTGGATAATAAAAGACAAATCGGACTCGACTATCGTCGGTGAAGTAAATCGTTTCTGATACAATTGTGGGGACTCGTGGAAACCGGGTCGCATTAATGAGTGCAAAGCGAAGGAAATAATTTGTCGTAATTGCCCAAAGAAATGTTATTTTATGAAAAAGTGTCGCAAGCCAAAAAATCATCGGTACCAAGAAATTATGCAGGGAAGAACAACAGCAACAAAAACAAATCTGTATTAAACTGGAGTGATGTGCAAGGTAAATTTGTTGATAATTCTGTACAGTTAAGAAAAGTTATTAGTTCAAAAACAATTCTTAGATTGATTTTAGAAAAACAAGGGCATAAGCGCTGGAACAAAGATACATAGAACTAAGAAATCGTTTGGAAAATTTTTTAATGGGGGGTTATACATTAGTTATCGTTCTATATTAAAAGATATTACTCACTGCTGTATAGGTTCCGACGACATAGTTATAATTTACAATTGATCACATTCTGGAGTAAAATGTCCCCCTAGTCACCTTGAAATGGCACAATAGATAGCTAGAACCGTGAAGTTTTCTGAGCTTTCTACTTATAAATCAAAGAATCAATTATCATCAACTAAGAAAATCATCGTAGATGGTGCTCCATGTAAAAGGTATAGATTCGGACTAAAATTCGTTATATTGAAGTCTAAGACATAGCCGAAAGCCATGATGCAATAATACAAGGTGTTATCAGTTGGCAACTTCTCGCTCTAATTCCGCCATATTAACTGCCTTACGTGAAACAGTGTTACTTCTTTAACTTTTCTTTGCCCATTAATATAGTTGAATGTTTTTTTATTTTTTCTCAGTATACACACTTTGTTTTCTTAAAAAGGTATTTTATCTTATTTTTTTTTTCATAACGAATATTCTATAAAAAAGCAAATTTTGTTTAGGAGAAAATGTGAAATTTTATATTTTTCCCCCATATGGGGATTCATTTCTTCCCGTTTTTCTTCTCATTCTACTGAGCTAAGGCAGTTTCAAATCGAGCTGTCACTTATGTTAAATGGTTAATGTTTTATATTGTTATCAAATATAGTAAGTATGGTTTCAAATAATGTATTTTAGATTATAATAATCAGGGCTGGCGAAAATATGCATTCGAAATTTATTTTAAGCGATTTAAAAGCTCGATAGGCAGCGTTGCCAAATATGTATCTCCAAACATTTTAGCAACCTTATTTACACGCACATTTCACCGTGTGTTCGTATAACGACGACCGCAAACATGTACATAAATATACCCGATTTTAAAGTACAAACGTATACCCTCAATTCAATTCCAATATACAATATGAAGATTCATATATACTTTATGTGCCTACAAGTTAATTTAAATTGAACTGAACTACAGTTTTGAGAAACTACATATAAGGCCATGAGAGCAGAAGTGGCCTAACCAAATTTATTTGGTACTTAACGTCTTAAAATAGTATCAAAAATTATACATTTAAAAATTAAGGTCGCTTATTCCTTCATTTGATAGTACGCTATGTAGCTCTGTACCTTAAAATTAAGGAATGAGCGACTTTTATTTTTAAACTTATAACATTTGAGACTAGTTTAAGTGGGTAGTACAAAAATAGATAGTTTTGGGTTAGGCCACTTCTCTCACTTCCTCATATGTACAAATGTGGCCAGCTGATTAATTTAAGTGACATTTTGACCTGTTTTGGTTATTTTTCTTTTGTTGGTTTAATGCTTATAATGTTTTATAAAAGTGGTGCTGGTTATTTAATGTGCAAAAGGTTTTAAAAAAATATAAACATTAATTAGACAAAAACAAAATCCAAAACTGGTCGAAATATTACTTAAATTAATCAGCTGATCACTAGCGTATGCACGATGTACAATTGTACATACATATATGCACTAAAGACTGGTGTACTGAAAAGGCCTTGTTAATAAACCCAGTGAAGTTCACCATTGTCCTATATACATAGAGAAGGAAAGTCAACTCGATTAGACCAACCTTGGCAGGGACATAAATTAAGTTCTCAGGAGAGGACGTATCTAGGGCAGCTCTGGAAAAAATTTGCATGATATGTCGTGGAGGAATATCACCAAAACTAACGTATTGGTTATTTAATACAGTAGTAAAACTCGTCGTTACATATGCGGCTCTGACCAAGTGTGGTACACCGGTGGGTCGAATATGGACGACGGCAGTACTGGGCAGGCCTACATGGACCAAGATTCCAGAAAAGTCTTCCAATGGGCACATAGCCAACCATATTTAAGGCGGAAGTCTTTGTTCGCCAATGTCTTCGCAGAAGGACAAATGGGGCCAAAATAAATATTATGTCGGATAGTCAGGCAGTGTTAAAAGCCTCAGACTTTTTAAAACGGCATCAAGGCCTGTAGACAGCTGTAAAACACCTTTGAACCACGTTACAATAGCGTAAAGCTATTGTGGGATCCGGACAAGTCAAAGTGAATGAAACAATCAAAGAGCTTTCAAGAGGAACTCCGAAAGACTCATGGAACTTAGCCGGGAGGGTTTTAGAACTCTTACAGGCTACGTGAAATGGCACTGCAAGTTAAGGAACCATTTGAATAATATTGGGCTTTCTGTAGAGACGGGATGCAGGTTGTGTGTTCTGGTGGAGGCAGCTCCAGATCATATTCTAAGCGACTACCCACGTATTATGAATAGCATACTGATACACCTTGGGGAACGATTGTCATCTCCTTATATACTATATAGTACTTATTTAAAGTATCGCTGTAAAATATCGGTTACCCATTAATATAGACACCAAATTCAAAAAATTTAATATAAATATTGGTGCCTTTTTATAATAAAGAATGACCACTTTGCATTTTAATAAGTGTTTGCTTATGTACAGGTAAGTGTGTTAATTAACATCGCCGAAGGCGCGGGTTGATATCCTGCCACATACCCACCAGCGGAAGGTCATAGTACCACATAGATTTGCAAAAAATGCAACCGCTAGGTAGCGCTGAAGCCAAAATAAAAAATACATTCGAGATTAAAATTAGTTTAAAATCAATATTAAAAAAAAGTTTCAATGGACATTTTAGTAGAACACTCTTCGGGCGTTCATTACAATTAAGTATTCGTTTCTAAATTGTAATCTACATTTTATAAAGACTGCCTACAATGTTGATCACAGTTTTCCATTGTTCAGTGGTGTTGTAATCAATTATTTGTTGAATTGTGTAGTGCATATTGTAGACGGACCCCATTCAGCGATGCGCCGTTGGGTAGCGTATAGGAGTGCATATTCTATCTCGATTAATATCCTCTAACTTGTGTTAGTCAAGCAATGACTTGAAAAGGCAAATTATTGCAGTTCACTGCTAGAAAGCTAAAAAGAGCGCAAGCGCGAGCGCGAGAGCTTTCAAACTCTCCCCTACATTTTTTTTCAATTTGAAATTACCCCGCGCTTAATTACGGGTTAATACATATATTTTTTAAATACTTGTGTTTATGAAACTACATAAATAATACCATTGAATTTAATATTGATGCATTTCCCTTTTTTATTCTTCTAATTCTAGGAGATTTCAGGACAAGTAGTATTGATCACTGGCGGTGGAGGTGGAGTTGGCCGGTTGTTGGCGTTGAACTTTGCTAAACTAAATGCTCGTGTAGTAGTCTGGGACATCAACCAAGAAGGTAAGAAGAAAAAAAATCGACACATACTATGTGTACTTATGTATGTGCATATATTTTTTTACTTTCTCCTAAATTTTACAATACTAAACTCATTAGCCATTAAAACTACTGTTGATTTACTCGGCCGGAATGGTTTTACCTGCAAAGGATATGTTGTTGATATTTCCGATCGCGAGCAAGTATATGAACGAGCCTCACAGACCATCAACGAAGTGGGTAATGTCGAAATCCTTTGCAATAATGCAGGTGTCGTCTGCTGTCGTCCGTTCTGGGATCTTCCCGATCGAGTCATACAGAATACTTACAACATTAATATAATTTCGCACTATTGGACTGTAAAAGCATTTCTACCACATATGATGCAAAATAACCTTGGCCACATTGTTACAGTAGGATCAGTGACTGGCATGCTGGGCACCTACGGCTGCAGTGATTACAGTGCCACGAAATTCGCTTGTATCGGTTTCCATGAAAGCCTGCTGACCGATTTAAAAGCACATGGCTACGATCGCATTCAAATGACTTTGATCTGTCCATACTACATTAATACCGGCATGTTCTCCGGCGTACGACCGCGCATGTTTCCAATGTTGGAGCCGCAATATGTCGCTGATCGTATCATAGAGGCAGTTCGAAAGAACGAAGTTTGGTGTGTGTTGCCCAACTCGATTCGCATGCTTACTCCATTGAAATGGTGAGTTATTAAGCAAAAAAGACAAAAAAATGTATAGTTGCTAAAATATGTACGTATGTATGTATGTATGTAAAATGTTCTTATATGTACATTTGTATATTCTGAACAGCCTCTTGCCTGCAAAAGTATGCTGGGAGCTTATGTCGAGGGTTATTCGAGGACCAGAATCGATGATGATGTTTCAAGGACGTGGTAGAGTACCCGCCGGTTAAGCTAATTGGAAAATCGATACGTACTTCCCAAAAATTAATCCCGGTATCCCGCCTTTTTTAGGTTCCGAAAATACCGGGATTCTTGGCAGATAGTCCCGGGATTTTCGAGATTTGTAATTTGCACTGAGGCAATAACAGAAACTCCTTTTCTTTACCAGTATTGGCTATATTTCTTTTTTTATTTAATAGCTTATATTTTTTATATATGTCTAGCTCATTATATTTACATATAACACCGTGCGATAGTAAATTGTATACACAAAAATCATTATATTCGCTAAACCTGGGCCAAATATACTAAAATTGCGTTTTTAGTTTTTCACTCTTACGTCAGTAATTCAAAACATATTTAAAAAATTCTGTGAAATGTGCTTAGAGAAGAAATATGGGTAACAAACTTAATGATGAAATCCAGTAGAATTTAAACAGATTCAAGTTTCTGGTGCAGAAGGGCTGGTAAGTATTGAAATTGTCCTTTTAAAATTTTATCCTTGAAATTTCGCAATATTTGTTTTTGAAAAAAATAGTGTTTTAAGGACTTATATAAACTCTTCGAATTTCGTCCTTCTAACTTTATCAGCTTAAAAAATTACCTATTCGTCCTCGTGAATCCAAAAAATTTTAATTTTTTTTAATTCGAAAGAAATTTCCTTTTTCATTTGGTACCCATATTTTTATTCTCCATTGCATTGCATTTTTTTAAATAATTTTTGGAATTAATTATATATTTGAAGTTACAAAGTCCTTTAAAATAAATCCTGACGTCAGAGGGAAAAAATAAAAACGCCACTTTAAAAAAAAGTCGGTTTCAAACCCATTTATTTGTTATTTATTTTATGGTATTCTCAAATAATATAGAAGCAATTTTTATACAAGAGCGCACTTGTGCACAAGGGTATATTAACTTTGTTCGCATAACGGTTGTTTGTAACAGCCAAAACGAATCGAGATAGATATGGACAAATGTATACTTAAATGATCATACATAAAGAGAAGTCGATTAAGCCATGTCTGTCTGTCCGTCCGTCCGTCTGTCCGTGTACACGATTACTCGAGCAAAAATTGAGATATCTCAACGTAATTTTATATGTAGGTTGCCCTTTATTCAAGGTAGGTTGGTCCGGTATGAAACCGGACTGTAACCACACCCACTTCCCATATAAAGGTATTTTCGAAAAATGCATAAACTGCGATATTTCAGTAAATATTGGATGCAAATTGTTGAAAATTAGTATGTGGAGTAGAATTGTGATAAAAAATAATATTGTTATGAAATTTTTGGAAAATGGGCGTGACCCCGCCAACTTACATATGATGAAATGCTGTATCTCAGTAGCCGCTTCATCAATACCAATACAGGGTCTAGCTAAGAAATCTGTTGAAAATTTTTGAAATCGGACAATAACCACGTCTACCTGCCATATAACGGAAATTTACAGAAACACGAAAACTGCGATAAATCAGTGACTACTGAAGCTGTTTGACACAATATCGATTATTGCAATGACCACTTAGTAAAAAATTAGACTATTATAAATTTTTGGATAATGGGCGTGGCGCCGCCCATTTATGACCACAATTTTTTATCTCGCTAACCGATTCATCAATTTCCACCAAACTCGGTGCACTTAATAACCTGGGTACGGAAAAGCAATTTGTTGAAAATTATTCAAATCGGACTAAAATTACACCCGCTTCTCGTATAACGGTAAGTTTCAGAAATACGAAAGCTCCGATATTTCAATAACTGAGGACGCTGATTTACTTCAAGTTAATAGTAACAACAATCTCCTAACAATAAATAAGACTGCTATAGACTTTTAGGAATTGGGCGTAGCACCGCCCACCTTATAACTACTGGGTGGCGCCGAATGAGCTATATGGTTTGGATTCTTTATAACAGTTTTTTTTACTCTATACCAACGGGATCCACGCCTGGAAATGACCTGCCAGCAGCGTTGCCGAATGCTTTTGCTGAAAATCGTCATTTTACCTTGAAAAAATCGTCATTTCGGCCAAAAAAAACCTCAAATTTTTGGTTATAATACTGGGTGGCGCCGAATGAGCTATATGGTTTGGATTCTTTATAACAGTTTTTTTTACTCTATACCAACGGGATCCACGCCTGGAAATGACCTGCCAGCAGCGTTGCCGAATGCTTTTGCTGAAAATCGTCATTTTACCTTGAAAAAATCGTCATTTCGGCCAAAAAAAACCTCAAATTTTTGGTTATAATACTGGGTGGCGCCGAATGAGCTATATGGTTTGAATTCTTTCTAACAGCTTTCTTTGGGGATATTTGAAAGAAAGAGTGTACGTTAACAAACCAAGAACCATTCTCCAACTCCAAACCAANCTTATAACTACTGGGTGGCGCCGAATGAGCTATATGGTTTGGATTCTTTATAACAGTTTTTTTTACTCTATACCAACGGGATCCACGCCTGGAAATGACCTGCCAGCAGCGTTGCCGAATGCTTTTGCTGAAAATCGTCATTTTACCTTGAAAAAATCGTCATTTCGGCCAAAAAAAACCTCAAATTTTTGGTTATAATACTGGGTGGCGCCGAATGAGCTATATGGTTTGAATTCTTTCTAACAGCTTTCTTTGGGGATATTTGAAAGAAAGAGTGTACGTTAACAAACCAAGAACCATTCTCCAACTCCAAACCAACATTCGAAATGAAATCATGGCCATTACACCCGAAATTCTGCGAAAAGTTATGGAAAATATGCTAACGTGCTCTTTACGTTTGTGCGAAGCAGAAAATGAACATCAAACCCAATTGCAAAAAATTCCCCAATAATATACTGTATTACAAAAAAAAATATTATAATAATCGCATAAATTAAAAAATTATAAACCATTTAAACCATATAGCTCATTCGGCGCCACCCTGTAGAATGAAGCTGGAAAAACTACCAGTAATTATTCGAAGTCCTTACAAAAGAGGTTATTTATATTTCACTAGAAAATAAATTTAATTGTTTTTATTAACTCAAACGAACAAAACGTTTAAAAATTTTATTGCAATAAAATTTTTTCATTAGCATTAGCATTTAATGAAAACAATTTTCATTAGCATTACATTTTCCAGAATTAATGCATTGAAATTTTGATTTGCATTAAGTTTCAAAAATTAATGCTTTAAATTTCAAAAATTAAGGCATTAATTTTTTACATTAATATTAGTGCTTTAAGTAAAAAATTAATGCATTTCTACATCTCTGGTACATACCACCATCGATAGTTTTTGATAGTTTTGACAAAAACCATCGATGGCCTGCGATAGTCTCCAAAAAAATAAACAATCGATACTATCGATAGTGCCATCGATAGTTTGGCAACCCTTTGTAAACGGAAAATTAATCCGAATAAATAAAGAAGCGGCATTACATATTAAAAAAAGATTCCGTTTTTACATAAAATCCATTTGCCAAATCGGTTAGTAATTTCTTTGTTAATTTTTTTGTATGTATAAAAAAAGGTATTTTTTCCTTTTAAGTGTATTTTCTCAAATTTTTATATACGAATAATACAAATACGCATATCAGAAGAAAGAAGGTTTGATTGCGTTTACAACGATATCAATTTTTTATAAATCGGTTAGTAATTTGTTGGTTTAAAATATTTTTTTATATAAAAAAGGTATTTTTTCCTTTTAAATGTTTTGCTCAAATTTTTACATACGAAGTATACAAATATAAATATCAGAAGAAAGGGAGTTTAATCACGTTTATAACGATTTTAATTTTTTAAAAATCAGTTCAAAATTTTTTGAAATATAAGGTTTTTAATTTTTCGAAGACCCATACTTTGACACCTTATAGCGCCTGTAATATAAGCTCGCACAAAAAAATTTATATACCATTTGAATAAGAGCAAAAGGCGGACACGTCTATATTTTTAGTTATTTACAAATAATAATAAAAAATAATTTTTTACCAAAGATCATATTTTTAACTTCGAAGTCCCATATCTCGGTTTCGGATTTTTTTATATAAAACTAATAAAATTAGAAGGACGAAATTCGAGGATGTGGTAGTTTACATATTAGTCTTTGATATATATATTTTTTTAAATAAATATAGGAAATTTCCAAGAATATTCAAGGATAAAGTTTTAAAAGGAAATTTTCAACACTTATTCATCCTGGTACACCAAAAAATTTAATTTTTTTAATTCTACAGAATTTTTCCTTTTAATTGGTACCCATATTGTTACTATACAATGCACAAAATCTTCTAAATAATTTTTTTATTCAATCATATGCTAGAAATTTCAAAGCCCTTTAAAAAAATCCTGACGTCAGAGAAAAAAGTTAAAAACACGGATACACTATATTTGGCTCCTAGTTTTGGGAATGTATTGACTTTTTCGTGTGTTTTAAAAATTTTTGGTTTTTGTCGCACGGTGTATTTTGCACTGATAGCGATAATAGAAATTCCTTTTCTTGAGCAGTATTGGGTATACTTTTTTTTATTTAATAATTAATATTTTTTTATAAATGTCTAGCTCATTATATATACATACAATACCATGCGATAGTAAATTTTAATTTTGTAAAATTTATGTAGTAAAACTGCGTTTTTAGTTGTTCACTCTGACGCACACAAGCGTGCTCAAAATTAAACTTTTAAAAAAGGGGTTTTTGGAAAAATAAAAACCTAGGTTTGTTCCCCATTAAATTCTATAATAAGTAAGTTTTCAGCTTTCTATCGTTTTTCGGCTGGCATATATGCGTCGCCCGTTAAAACATTACCTATTCGTCCTTGTGAATCCAAAAAATTTTAATTTTTTTTTAATTCTAAAGAAGATGAGGAACCCATTTGGAACCTATATTTTTATTTTAAATACACTGCACTCAATTTTTTAAATAATTTTTGGAATTAATCATATTTTTTAACTAACAAAAGTCCTTTAAAATAAACCCTGACGTCAGAGAGAAAAAATAAAAACGCCACTTAAATTAAAAAGTAGGTTTCAAAGCCGTTTATTTATTATTTATTTTATGGTAGGAGAGCTTCTCAAATAATATAGAAGCAATTTTTTCGATTTAAGTTGTTGAAAAGTAATGAATATCAAAATCACGGGACTAATCCTGGGATTATGTAACGACGTCTCGAAAATCCTGGGATCGTAAAAAGCGAAAAAATTAACATCCCTAACATTTACGCGATTAAAGCTCAGTCAACCTGGTACTATAATTTTAATAGTCCAGTTTCTTTGTAACCTTTAATCGACTGTTCGAAACAAAACTTTCTTGGGGAGTTAAAAATGTGGTAACAAATAATGAATACAACGTATTTTGGGTATATTTTTAAGATCTTGCGCGTATTGGCACCTTTGACCGTTTCAATAGTTACACCTGAACGAAGTTTTTCATGCCTGGAAAGGATTAAAACCTACTTGAGAAATATCTCAGGTCAAGAAAGGCTCAACGGTCTAGCATATATGTATGAATATTCACAAAGATAAATAAAAAAAAATAAATAATAATAAATTTTGCAGTTGACGAAGTTCTAGAAGAATTTTTCAAAAAAACAAGAAAAATGTGAAAAAGCTTCGTTTCATTGATATATAAGTGAAAAGAATAATTTAATGTGTTTAAAATCATATGTTTAAAATTATCAACATGTTTTATACATATGTATGTATGTAAATAAAACGAAACATTTAATGTATTTGAAAATTTCATGTTTTAACACTTTATTGCGCATATCTAAGCTAGGGCTGCCATAATCCTGAACCCAAACCAAATGAAAAACGAAGATACAAGTGAATATGGTGTCAATATATTCCTTACAAGTACAGTTGCTTTGGTTCTGATATTATAAGCAATTTAGTTTTGTGGCACAATCCGTACAGCTGAATGATTGATGGTGATGAAACGCTCAAGTTCTGAATTTTTTTAATCATAAAAGAACAAAGTTCTCGTGACGGTGACGTACCACCATTAGCACATTTCCGCATATCCTACAACGCCCTCAATGATAATTTTTGCCATTTTGTATATGCATAACCTGAAGATAATTTAGGTAGGCTGTTTTAAGTGAAGCCATTCTAAAAGGCTTACCCAACAAGGACTGAAAACAGTGCTTCCCTGCATGCTTCCTAGAGAGGTGTTGCCTATTTACAATTTACACGAATGTACTTAAGTAAATTTTTATATTACTTAGCATTGCAAATAAGATTTAAAAGACATTTTAAGTCTAAATAAAACTATTTGATATCTTCTTCTTCTTCTTATTTGGCGCTGTAACCGCCTAAGCGATTTTGGCCGAGTTCAACAAAGCACGCCAGTCGTTTCTTTTCTGTGCCAGCTGGCGCCAATTGGAAATGCCAAATGAAGCCAAGTCCTTCTCCACCTGGTCTTTCCAGCTCAGTGGGGGCCTTCCTCTTCCTCTGCTACCAGTTCCGAGTTGAATACTTTCTGAGCTGGAGCGTCGGTGTCCATTCGAACGACATGACCAAGCCAGCGGAGCCGCTGTATTTTAATTCGCTGCACTATGTCCATGTCGTTGTAAAGCTCATACAGCTCATCGTTCCATCGTCTGCGGTACTCGCCGTCGCCAACGCGTAAAGGCCCGTAAATCTTCCGCAAAATCTTTCTCTCAAGCACTCCAAGAGCCGCCTCATCGGATGTTGTCATTGTCCATGCTTCTGCGCCATATACCAGCACGGGCATGATGAGAGTGGATTATAGAGTGTGGTTTTCGTACGTCGAGAGAGGACTTTACTCCTGAAGCCTACTCAGTCCAAAGTAGCACTTGTTGGCAAGAGTGATTCTGCGTTGGATTTCAATGCTGACATTATTATCGG